GCGCGGATCGGAGCCGCGGTGGGCTGCTGCGCTCGGCCGCCGCCGCGTCCCGCTTCCTCAGCTCCACGCTCTGGCAGCCTCCCGGCTGGACACGTGGGTTTTACGACAGCACAAAATACAAGTGTGTGTGCGTGTGTGTGTGTGTGTGTGTGTGAGAGAGACACAGAGACAGAGGGAGAGAGGGAAAAAGGGAGGGAAGGGAGGAGAAGGGCGAGAGACGGAAAGAGAGAGGAAGAGGGGGAGAGAGAGAGAGAGAGGTGGGGGGAGGCGGGAGGCAGGCCAGAAGAACGAAGGGGAGGGGAGAGGGGAAGAAGGAAGTTCTAACTCGGCTGGGTCCACACCCGGCTGGTGCGCCTCTCCCGCACAGATACTTCCTCGGCCCTCCCCCCCCACCCCGCCCCCCGCCCGTTTTTGGCGTGACGTCTCCCGCTCGCCTGTTGTCTCTTTCTGCCCATGATAAGTCTTTTCTAGGTGCCAGCTCACGGCCCTGATCCTGAAAGCGGTGGAAACGCGGAAACCGGAATGCATCTCCGCACGCGCTCGGGGGCCCGCATCGGAGCCGGCGCGCCCAAGCGGCGAGCGGACCAAGTCCCAGTACCGGGTGTGCGCTTTTGCCCGGCTCAGTTTTTTCCGGGAGTACTGCTGGGTGCCAGAGTCCGCTAGCCCGCCACGCAGCTTCCCACAGCAATCCTGGCGTGGGGAGGCGGGCGCGGGGCGGGTTGCGCACCGGGAGGAAAGCCTCAGTCTGCAGCGGAGGAGGCAGGCTTTGGTGAGCTGCGAGGCGTGAGACCGAGGGTCTCTAAAGGGCGCCCAGTCCTGGCGGGACTCAAGTCTGGCCGCGGAGCTGGGGAGGCGGCCGCAGCGGAGTCTCACGCGGCTGAGCGCTAAGCCCACCCACTCTCGAGTTGTCTCCCTGGGGGCCTCGCTCCTTCTCCTTGTGGGCATCGGAGGCAAGTATCCCGAGCTCTGTAACGCTGTGTGAAACTGCTCCCGAACGCTGGCGAAGCTTGTGTGCCTTGGACTGCGAGGGGCTGCCCCGGGGGGTCGTGTAGGAGGCTCTTGCCCCAAGCCAGGCGTCCGAGGTGCAGGCTGCGAGAGCAGCCCCACCTCCACCTTGCCCACTCCAGGTGCCTTGGGCCGCGCGGCTGCCCTTCCCTTAGCGGTCTCACATCCACGCATTGGGCCCCGGCCCCCAGCTCCTCCAAGACACTGGCCGAGCTCGGTGGGGGTGCGGCACGGACCGGGGGTGTGAAATTGCCCGGCTCAGGCGCTTTCCCAACGCCGGAGTTCTGTCCACACTCAGAAGAAATGACGTTTGTCTTTCCCCAAACAAGCCAACTTATTTAGCACCCGCCACTCCGAACAATTGATAGCCACTCTCTCCTGATTTCTGCTTGTTTCTTTTTGTCTTCCCACCGCTCGTTTCGTCTGAGCCTGGGAACCGCGCTGTTTAGACTTTGTCCGGGTCTCACGCAGGATTGCCTCGACGCTGGTTGGAAAAGAGTTGGACCGACAATGTTTTGACTGGCGTCGTTGTGACAAGGTCATCCGTCATTCTTGGATAGATTGATAGTACCCAAGTTTAAGGCCAACACCACGAGGGAAAACCCACGTGTTGTGGGCCCCGAGGCTAACCGAGCAGTCTGCGCGGGCTTTGAACAATTCCATCGAAGGGAGAGTAGGAAGTTCCAGGCCCCTTTCAGTTAATTTGCTGGAAGAACTGCCGAAGAGGCGCGGTCGGGCCTCGGCAGAAGGGGCAAGCTCTCTTTCTCACACTCTCCTGGTTCCTTGCTGGTTCTCTGGGAGAGACTGGGAGCACGAGGGAAGGGAGCCCGGACGCTGCGGGCAGCATCCCCACCGCCTTCTTGTTTGGGGCCAAGCCGGCTGCGCACGAGCCTTTGGTCCCCGGGACTGGCCTTCTCAGAGAACTCCTCCCCGTACCGCCCCCCCAAACACACTCGAAAATCTCGAGATTTTCAGACGCTGGTTGCAGCAACTGCTCCCAAGGCCTCCTGGCGCCCGCACCCTGGGAAGCCGGGGATTTGCCTTCCCAGTAAGATTAGCTGATCTGTCCGTGAGAGCTTCGGATTGGCCAGGCGCGGCTAGGCGCCTCCACTACGTTTATTCCGCCCAGCAGCCCTGCGGAGAAAGCATTATCATTAACCCCATGTTACAGATGGGGACACTGAGGCTCAGAAAATACGTTGCCTAAGGTCACGCCGTTGTTGAGTGCTAGAAACCCAGGCAAGGAGGCGCCACGTGTACTCTCCTGCCCACCCTAGTCCAACCTCTCCCCTCACCTTCCAGACTGATGCCAGAAGGGTGTCGGGGTTCCTGGAGGGAGATTTGGCTCCCCTTGCCGTGGGGGGTCAAGGGGGAGAAGCAGAGGCTGCAGCGGAGCCTCAGTCCGTCACTATGCCAGAGTGTGGTGTCCCTGACTCATCAGGTTCGAGCCCCTTCCTCCCCTCCTCCCCCCACAGCGGCCCCGGGCGGACGCGGCTCTCTGGGCTACCGGACCCTAGGGTCCAAAGGCCTTAGAGAACTTGCGTGAAGGAGGTGGTTAAAAGAGCCGGCGCTCAGAAGGCCCGGGAGTGCAGGAGCGCAAGACCAGGTCTGGCGGGGAGTGCGGCGGGAGTCCGAGCGTTCGCCAGCGCCTCCCCGGGGGGCCCACGACGCTGGGCCGGAGGGGCTGGGCTGGGGCCGAGGTCCGCGTGGTCCCGCCACCCGCGGCCCCCGGGGCGCTCAGTGCCGGCGGAGGCCGCCGCCCACCCACCCAGCTGACCCCGGGCCCCGCGGGGCTCGCCGCCTCCCTGGCGCGTCTCGTCTCCGGGGTCTTAGAAAGCGAGCCCACCGGCACCCCTCAAACCCGCTCCCCTCCTCTTCATTATTTAGAAGAAGACCGCGGAAACAAATCACTTGCACCACTTAAGAAGCGATCAAACCTTTATAAAAATCCATCGCTCCCAAATCGATGGGCGAATATTTGCTGGGAATTTGTTCCAGAGGAATAAATAAGGAGGGTGAGTGTATTAAATGCAAACGGGGGGACACGGTGGTGTTTTTCTTCATTGATTAATGACCTCTAAAATAAAACAAGTGGGAAGAGGAGCCGGGATCGATAAATTAACTACCCAAATTCATCATTTTCTCGAGCAATTTTTTTTTTCCCTGAAAATTATCCTTGGGAAGCCCATTGCACCCTGAGCTGGGAGGGGAAGAAGGGAGCTGGAGGCCGGAGCCAGGCGGGAGGGGCAGGAAGGGGCAGGAAAACAAGAAGAGGATTCGGTCAGGGAGACCCTCTATCTGATTTCGTTTGACATACAATTTTAAAGTTTGCCTTTCATATTAATTATTTTTTTCCTGATGGAGGAGAGGAGCAAATGGTCGGCTGCCTTTGACAGGACTCCAATAAAGGATTCAGCAGCTCTCCTGTCTGCCCTCGGCGCTCTCGCTTCTAGGTTTAAGGTCATGGATGGCTGAGTTAATAATTCATTAATATAGACATTTATTCAGAAGGGTTCTCTGAGACCCGCTCTCCCGCCTCCTCCCAGAGATTTATTTTCCTGGGAAATGGAGGGGAGGGGGGAAGGGGGAGGGTCTCGGGAGGCAGGTGAAAGGAGGGAGAAAGAGAAAAAGGGAAATGAAGAGAGAGCTGGACCCAGCT